GCCGCGCCGCCCTGCCTGCGCCTGCGCGGGGTGCGGGACCGTGGCTAACCCGGGGTCTGCCTGCAGCGCGGCGCTCTCTGCCTGGGAGGAGGAGGAGGAGGCGGTGATGCCAGCACTGCGGCTCTGAGCGTCAGGAGCTGCGGGAGTCCCGGTTCGGGGAAGGGGAGGGGGCGGCAGGTAGGACCCCCCTGGCCTAGCCAGCGTTGGGCCATGCTCGCCCTCACCCTGGCAGCCCGCAGCCATCCCGCCCGCGGTGCGGCCGCGGCCAGCTTTGGCCCCCCGCCGCGCTCGGGGCGGCGCAGGAAGCCGCTCCGCTCTCTGCACCGTGCCAGCGAGGAGGGGATTTCCAGCTGGCTGTGCCTCTGCTGGGGCAGCGCCCTGGGCCCCCCCTGCACCCCTCATCCGAGCAAGTCGGGGGCCGTGTTCCTGGAAAAGGGCCCGGGACTGACCGACGGAGGATCCGCATCTCCTCTTTCTGCCTTGGGAAGCGGGGCAATGGCAAGGGGTCATTGCACAACCTCTCTCAATGGCTTGCACAGATTACATCCAAGGCCCGGAGATAATCTTAGCCGCCGGCTCATTAGCCAGAACCAGCCTGACGGGATAAGCCTTTATCAGCCAGGGATTTTCATCTCGTCTGACAGCCGCGGAGTGACGCACAGGACCCACGGGATCTAATTACCCTGGCATCAGCGAAGATGCTCTGGAGCCGGTTTCCCCGCTGTGCTGCTCCATGTGCAGAGAAGGCAAAGCTGCTCAACCCTTAAACTTTTCATGCCAAAATGGGCTTCAAAAGGAGTCAAACATTAACTCGCAGCTAACCCTGCCCTTGCCTGGGTTTTTCCAGTTGTGCGAACCAGATCTTCCAAAATAAATATGTATTGCTGTGCCGTGGAGCTGGGCTGGAGGTGCCATTGCTCAGTGTTTGGCCTTGCCGTGGGTTTACGGCATGAACAGGGAAACCCTGGGTGTAAATGCCTCTGCCCAGCATGTCCTGGTGTGGGGCTGATGGGAGGGTGCAGCCATGCACAAGGCACACGTCCATCCCGGGTGCGTGGTCCTGGGGCGCAGGGCCACCACCCTGCTGGGTGCTGGGGGGCCAAAGCACCCTGGCCTGGGAGAGAGGGAGCAGGGAGAGCAGCCTGGCGGGAGCTGGGGGGAGAGGGGCACCGCACGGCGGATGGTGCAGGAGCAGCGGAGGATGATGCACCCCCGGTTACTCTGTGGGCTCAGCCTCCATCCAGCGAGGCGGGAGTCAGGCTCCCAGCCTGCCTGGGTCACCCCAAGGCAGCACCCAGCCCGGCAGGCAGGGGCTGGCAGCAG